GGGGGGGGGGGGGGGAAGTTGGGGGAGAATCCAGGTATAAGTGTTCTCAGTCATGATCCATTGGAGGGGGCGGTCAGCCTGTCCCCTTTGAGCCATTTCTAGCTGGTGGTCTGTTGGAGTTCACATACTGGCGCTCACCTGTGATGTGCTCAACATAGATGTCCCTGGACCATTGGATGGTGTCACACGCCATGAGGCGCCTCATGTGTTTGGCACAGTAGAGGGATACTCTGCAGGCATGCAGGATGCTCTTGTTGCTGGGCTCCCATGCTCTGAACACCCTGATGATTAGCACCTTGACCATCGCCTCATATCCCCATCTCCTCAGGGTGTCCGCCAGCAGCTTGTACTTTGCCAGATTCTGCTTGCAGACTTTGACGAAGGCTAGTTGCCAGTTCTCAAACAGGATGGTGAGGTCAACCATCACAGTGCACCTGTTCTTCTCGTTGGCCACAACAATATCTGGGTACAGCTGGCTTTTGCAGACATGGTCCCAGCCGAGTCTGGGATGGTTTTCACCAGCTGGTCCTGGACAGTGTTGTGGTGGAGCTGCCATGTTCTGGCATGGGGCTTGCAAGCACATGGGGGAGGGTCCCTGTTTCATAGCCTCATCTTCAGCACTTCTTATTGCAATTCCCATACTGAATGGCACTGTTGAGTGTCAGGCACTTGAGTCAGGCATGACAGATGAAGCTAGTATACTTGATCTGAGCCAAGAGGCCAAGAAGCTACTACTCCTCCTAAAAACCTTATTAATTATAATAAAGATACCACAGGCTTTGGTTCTTAATAACTAAGGGCTCTTCTCTGTTTATTGCTCACAAAAAAGCTTAGACACTAATATCCATTGCCCATTTAGTCATGGTGTTAACCAGAGGCAGATCCAGAAGGGGTGCGGAGGCACAGCTGCATCCTCTTTTGGACTGGAGTGCACTGTAGGCACCTTCAGGGACTTCTTAATTCCCTAAAGCCCCACCCTTCCCCTTGGTGTTCAGAGACACATTTCCTCTCCTCTCCCTCCCTCTGCTCCTCCATGTAGCAGGATGGTGTCCCTAGGGATGGCCATGATACCCCTAGGGCCCCTTTACCGTGCCAATCTCATCCGACAGGCACCCTCTGTCTCGCCCGCCATGTCTTGCTGGTACTGTTAATATTGGGAGGCTGCCCTTGATCTTATTACTTGGACAGTCTTGCTGCACCCCACTGAACCCTGGGGTTCGTAGACCTTTTGGCATCCTGCTTCCCGATGGATGCTTTATGGGACATTCTTAGCCTTTTGGGCTATATGCATGGCTCCAAACCACCCCGTTACCATGCCCCAAGCCTCGCAGATGGTACCAACATTGTCTCGCCTGAGCCTTGCTATAATTTGGCCCCCTTGTCCTCCCTGGGCTCTCCACAGCCCTATCTCTGCGCCTCAATGGCACCAGGGTCTAGTCACCCTCTTTGTCACTGTGCCCTCTGGCACCGGGGCCTGGTCACCCTCTTGTCACTGCGCCCATGCTGGTGCTGGGGTCCCCACACTGTAGTGAGCCCCCAATGAGGCCCCCTCCTTCCCCAGTAGCCTCACCTAAACCACCGGTGTTATAAAACAGCAAACAAAACATGAGCCCCTGGGCTATAACAGAACAACACTGTTCAGGGTGTGCTCTGCCCCTTTAGAAGAGTAAAACTTCTTCCCTGGTTCTAAGTGCCTCATAGGCAAGGGTACCTTGTGAGTTCCTGGAGCCCCATTAGCCCTAAGGGCAGCGTATCTGGTGGCTGCCGCATCTCGGGGCCATTCCTCCCTGGAGGCTCCTTCCCTGTCAGCTGCTGGCAGGGAACTGAACTCACTAGTCCCAGCCCTGGGGTTTATATGGGCCCAGGGCCCTGCCTCTTCCGGCCAGCTGACCAGGTGCAGGTGCAGGCTAATTTCCTCATTAGCTGGTTGCCATGGTAACCTGCACCTGGGCTCCTGTCTGGCTCTTTGGGCTCTCTCCCCAGGCAATCTCTGCTCTTAGAGGAGCAGGCACCTTAGTGCCCTGCGACACTCCACATGCTGCTGCTGCTTTACTTGTTATCCCGGGGACAAGGGAAGTTCCAGAGCTCCTTCTGCCTGCACCAACAGGGCCACACAGGGTGAGCTCAACTGGGGATGGGCACAGTGTCAACAGTGCAATAGAAAAGTAATTTCCCCCTTCCTGCCTGATTCCCCAAGAGCAGGCTTGGGGAGGTGGAACCCCCTGCACATTTCCCCTGCCACTATCCGGTCCCTGTCCCCAGTCCTTGATCTGCCCCTGGTGTTAGCTAGGTTATCTGCAAACACGGCAGTAGCATAAAACACAGCAAAATATTCAGAGCTTAAGGGTCCTTTTTATACATTGGTCAAAATAACTTCCTGTTTGATCTCTGTTTTGGTGTCTTGTACCCACCTTATCCATTTTCTATCTATTGACCTTCTGAGGTGCCCAAATGCTAATGCTTTTAACTTTCCCAGCATTTTGGCTTAGGTTACATACAGTTTGCTTTTCAGTCATCAAGGTCTATTGCTCATGCTGTTAACAGGCTTGATGATCAATGGTATTAACCCAGGCCCCAGCAAGGACTACAAGGAGTAATGGATGGAAGGGTCTCCAGTGTCTTGGATACTGAATGTTTAAACAATGCCTAGAAAAAGTTTATTGGTCCTGAAAAAATTGTCACAGTGTTTCCTATCTGAAGCATGAGACTCCAGAAGTTGAAGCATGTTTTTATTAAATATTTTAATTGATATTTTTGGTGTTGAAAGATAATTACTTAAGACCTCAATCATTCTGTAAAGTTCCATAAAAGATAGTGTGTGTGTTTGCCTTTTCACACCTGTGCAGATAAGAACTCCATTTAAGTCAACGGTGTAGGTAGTAGCTGTGTTGATCTAAGGACATAGGCAGACAAGGTTCTTTGGGTAAATCTGATATCTTTTATTAGACCAACTCAAATAGCTGTGAAAAAAATCTTCTTTGCAAGCTTTTGGGCACAAACACCCTTCATCAGGCTGTGAAAACATTTGCGGTGCTCTTCCTAGATAGAATGAATAGTAAAGAAGCCAGAGGCTGGTATGCATGCAAAAAAGCCAGTCAGTGACAATGTAAATTGAGGAGTCAATGGGTGAGAGACAGGTTGAGGGGTAGGGGGCGGGGACTGAATGTAGCTGGTAAATAGCGGAGAGGTACTTGGGGAGTCAGATGTTAGGCAGGTTGTAATTTGTCATAAATCCAGTGTCTATATTTAGTCCATGAATTTTTTTATCCAGTAGACTGATGAAGTGAAGTTCATGGGCTCATCTGTGTGTTTTGTAAATTCCCTTTTGAGGATTCAGCTGGGAGATTGGAGAGAGAGTGGTTTTCTTGTGAGAAATGTGCCCCCACAGGTATTCTTGGCTCTGATAGATTTCTGGTGTGCGTTCGTTCTGGTGCGCAGTTGTTTGGTCCCCTACGTATTTTCCATCAGGGCATTTGGTGCATTGGATGAGATATATTACATTTCTGGAGGTGCAGGTGTAGGATCTGGGAATGCTGATGGTTTGATTGTGGGGTGTAGTAACTGGATTTATGACATCATGACAATTTACATTGTTACTGACTGGCTTTTTTGCATGTATACCAGCCTCTGGCTTTTTTACTATTCATTCCATCTAGGAAGAGCACAGAACAACTGCAGATGCTCCCTGATAAAAGGTGTTTGTACCCAAAAGCTTGCAAGAAAGAATATTTTCCAACTATTTGAGTTGGTCTAATAAAAGATATCAGATTCACCCAAAGAACCTTGTCTGCCATTTAAGTCAAAACATTCATAAGAATAAATGTGGCATAAGTAAGGATCAAATATTTGCCCTTTCCTTGTTTTTTCTCTTTTAACAATGTCTGAGGGATCATTTGAATCCTGTGCTGCTGTTAATTTCATAGGTAGTTCCCATTTTCATATTTAAGGCCTGAAATGGGCAAAAGAAATGAGAGGATTAAGTGCAGGATTTGAACCAAAAAGTAAAAAATTGGCATGTATTGAGTAAATATTGTGACTTTCACACTTGTTGACTATGCATATTTTGAAAGGGACATCATCCAGATATAACATATTAATTTACAGTGTAATAGGTGGTTGAACTATATACAGTTTTCTTACTAGGTGGTTGAACTATATACAGTTTTCTTTAGTAGCTAAAGAAACCTAAACATGCTTGTTAAAGAAATTCTTTTCTCTATTTTTTCAAGCTTTGTTTGATGAGTGGGGAAATCATCCAAATGTCTCCTCAGATGAGTCTCATCTTTGAAACAATGGACCTGTCTCAGGCTTCAGTAAGTCCATAAATGAAATTATGTATTAAATCCTGTTAATCATATTGGCTGGTTGCAGACATAAAAAAAAAAAAGTAAGTGCTTTACCAGAAGAAGTAGCACGTTACTTCAGCCTGGGTCCACAATGGCTGTATAGATTGGGCATTTCAGCAGGGCTTTTTGCCACTTTTATCTAATAATGGAGTCAATCAGCTATTAGATCAAATCACCAAAAGGCCCCACTAAAGTGCCTGATACAGATGTTGGGCGAGCTGGGTCCAACTAAGATGCTGCCTCTCCTGGGCACGCGCTGGACTCAACACAGGAGTGCACTGAGTTTAAAGTGCTTTTTTTGGGGGGGAGGGGGAGGGGGGGTTGGGGGGAGTTAACATCTGCAAGCAGCCATAATGATTGGATCTTTAAAATTCTCTTTTAGCCAGCTACAGTCAGTCGTTGTGGTATGATTTATTTGGAGCCTTCACAGCTAGGCTGGATGCCACTGGTAACTTCTTGGTTGAGCAAACTACCAGAACCCCTGAATGAAAAGGAATATCAAGTTCTTTTGCTTGGGCTTTTTAACTGGTTAGTTCCAGCAGCCTTAAGAGTTCATCAAAAACAGTGCAAGGTAATTCTTGTCATTTTTCATTTTTATTTTTTAGTTATGTCAAGTGGTTGGTTTTTAGGCACTAAAGGAGGGAAAACTATTTTCTACTAAAAATTAAAGAAAGTACTGTATACTTTCCATTCCGTCTTTTGTTTAGAGCCATATGCAAATTAATTACTTTTCCAATTAAAACCACAGATGATAGACTAAAATATGTTTAGTATTTGCGATACCATACTCTGTACTCTCCATTCCTTGTGTCTTGTAGGAGCTGGTTCCCACAAGCAACAGCAACACTGTTGTGTCTTTAACTCGACTTTTTGAAATGTTGCTATGTAAAACTCTCCAAGAGGATCCTACAAACAAAAACATCCGCTCATGGATTATGGTTGGTCTTTTCCTGGGTTTACTTTTCAAAAGGAAAGAAATTAATTAACCAGTAACAGATCTCCTGTGAAATTCATCTCTTTGCCTTAGCTTTCCTCCAATGTTCCTTCATACATATACACTCGTGTGTACAGATGTTCAAAATGAACCTGCCTGGCAGTGGGAGAGCAAGAGCATATGACAGTGCTTTCTTATTTTTCTTTTGATTGGTGCTCAGGGGCAGCAGTGATTAGGTTCTTATAGATACATAAATGGATGTAGTTTAACTATTTTTCTGTTTGTTTTCCTTTAATTTGGATAATGTTACAATTAGATTTATATTTCAGTTAGAGCAAGTGATCAATGTGTGTGTTTATGTTTTGGGGAAAGAATAATTTTCAGGTAACACTAATTCACTTATTTGGTTGTGCAGAAATGTCATGGTATTTGAAAGGCAGCTTCTGGTTTGTATGTTAAGCTTAAAATGTTCTTAAAAGAGTGACATTTCCAATAGAAAGGTCCAAAATGAATATTAAGCTAAAACAATGCTTGGGATTTGCAACTATTTACAAAATGATTGTACCTATTTATTTGATGATTTTCCTAAAATCCATGCTTGAGATTAATTTCTTACACAGAAGGGTACCCCAAAGCCCTGGTTACTTTGTCCCACATAAAGACTTCTGCGAGTCTGCTAGAAGAGTGGCCATACACATTTATGCTGCTGGATTAGCCTCAGCACCGTTTAATGCAGGACTAGTTTAGAAGATCACATTGATCTGTAAATGCATCCAGGGAGTGATTATGGATCCATGTTGTGCCCCATGCAGCTAATATGGAAGAACTGTACCTGCCTTTTCAGCCCATAAGGGGCAGTGGGAACTGCAGAAAGGCATCTGGATCTGGTTTTGCTGGAGAGTTGTGGGGAGAGGGGTTGGGGGGTGATATTTTTTCAGTTCCTTGTATTCCACTCATGTAGAGTCTGAATATAAACTGTATGTGGGTGGAGTGAGTCACATTCATTTTGGAGACATTTAGAGTTCGATCCCATGTTTTATGTATGCTGTAAGGATGAATATATTTTCCTCTTATGACAAGTTAGTTTTTAAAAATTTTAGCATTAGGACGCATGGTCTACGCAACACAGCAAAACATTAGAAATATTTGTCTTACAATTCTTGTTGCATAGATAGCTCTTACAGTGGGTCTAATCCCAAAAGAAGCACTGTGCCTCTGCAATTTTCATGAAATCATTGGGATTTGCAGATATTTAGCAGCCATTAGGATTCAAGTCCAAGGTTTATAATAAAGATAAAGAGTGGGATGGTAGTTGTTTTTTGCTAACTTTCAAAGTTCTGGGAGACAGCAATTTCAAATGAGAAAATTATTACAATAAGCACAACAGTGTTACATTCCTCTTCAATATCAGGATGAATACACAAGAAACACTTGTCTTCTGATAAAGAGTTAGTGTTACATTTTACAGGGCACTTCTGGCCATGTGTCAATAACATGGGCACTTTAATTACTTTAGCTAAAAATGTTAACTATTTAATGCTTTATAAAGACTCCAGATTGTAGTTTTAATTGTAATGTAAATATATAAAATATCCATTCCATACAAGATGTCAACTAGAGTCAGCCTTATCATCTTCCATTCTTGCTTATAATTTTTCTTCAAGTAGGGGAGGCTCTGAGCATCCACATAACCTTTTCCCTCTTGCTCACTTTAATGTGACTAGTAACTTTGTACTAAATGCTTTTAAATATAAATGTAGACACCCCTGAATTATTTGAAGCTAAAAACTGCATTTGAGGTTCCAGAACTTTTTTTCTCCTGACATTTCACTAATACTGAAAATGTCTTTACAAAACCTTTGAAACCAAAGGCAACTCTTTAGTGAAGACCATTAAAAGGAAACATTTTTTTTGCTGGATCTGTCTTTGATGTTAGATAAATCATTTGTTAGGATCTAAGTGAGCTCAGTTATTCCAGATAAACACCTTCTGCTACTGTGACACAATCCTCAGTAGGGAGATCTAGGAGGGATTTAGCTTCAGACAACAGAAAGTTGCATCTTCCTTCATCTATGCCTTGCATGTTCAGAGGCTTTCACAGGAGCTTGAAGATGAGTTTGGTCACATTACTGTTACTATTATTTTCTCTTTTTTATATACAAAGAATATACACAGAGTTTTGTTACCCTGAATACAGTGGAAACAAGCAACAGCAGAGTTTTCTTGCTCAGAAATTCCTAAGTCTACGTGTCATAAGTTTTTGTACGTAAGAAGTTCCCTTTCTGTGCTTCCTTTCAAATTCAAGTTGACAACAGTTTCTCTGGCTTTTATGTAGCACACATTCACAGAGTTTTCAAACCCAGCTCTTAGGCATTGCATTTGAAGTCAGTTAACAACTCAGTCTAGCTCTGCTCAAGCCTTGCCAAGCTACATAGTGGACACCCACCCACCCACCCGATACTTTTATGATAGGTAATAATTAAGCCGCTATATTAATAAAAATTCCATGGTGGAATGGAAAGGGAAAAGGAAAGAAACCAATGCGAGGGAAGGGTTCACCCATGCCGTTTGTCTTTTGGGACTGGGACGGTGTTCCTTGCGATCATGTACTGATGGAGAGGGAGACCAGACTGAATAAGCATAGGCGGGTATGAGTGAGAAGGATTTGGGGGTGACAGTGACCAGTCAGAGTCCAATGAGAGTCCAGGGACTGGGGAGCCCAGTTGGCTCACATGCTCCTCCTGCTGTAATGCAATAGGAAAAACATTTTAGGGGATAAATTGGTATTTGACTCCCTCTGCTGACATCTGCAGGGAATGACACACAGGGGCTTAACTTGCTTGAAAGTGCCATTTGTGCAAACATGAACACCGTGTTGTGCAAACAGAACTGCACCACACCAAAAAAAAAATTTAAATTTTGTGGTGGTCTACATTAAATCTCATGTCATGTACACATGGCCTTTGGCAATAGCTTTAATTGTTTCTAGCTATCTTGCTAAATATGGGGGTTAATTGCTTCTTTCCCCATCTTTAACCAGGTCTGTGATTGCCTTTGGCTCAAAAGCTAATTTAATGACCGCCATTAGAACCGTTCAACATAAGAATATTCTGCATATTTTTTTTTTTTTAGCAGACCAGTCACTTTGTCATTTCTTATCCTTTTACATTCTCAGGCTTGCTTTGCTTTCTCTTTGATTTGGTCCATTGGTGGAAGCTGTGACAGTGATAGTCGAGTTATTTTTGATGCTTTCCTGAGGGAAATTGTAGCAGGGAAGTCTGAATCCAGTCCAGTACCACCAGTTGTGGGTAAATGGGACTGTCCCTTTGATGATAAAGGCTTGGTCTATGACTACATGTATGAGGTATGATTGCTCATTTTATAGTACTTCAAATATATCCTTTAAATGAGAGAAACAAAACTTAGCTGCTTAAAGCTTTTGCGGGGGAGAATTGCTGGAGTAAGAATATTCTGGGTTGGAGAAGGACTAAACTACTTTATTTAACAATTGCATTATTTTTTTTGGAATCATTAATGCACTGACTGAACAACTGTTCAGTAAATATCTGCCAATCTATATTAGCTATTTAGAGTGAGCTGTAGTTGAGACCCAGGGAGGTGCCATTAGGTTTCTGGGTTTTAGGCAGAAGGGCAATCTGACTTAAGTCCGGGAAGCACATGCTTAAACTTTAATCACATTTACAGATACATTTTCCTATGAGGACTGCTTGTGATATTATATACATGTTTAATAGGAATGTAAATGGTTAAAAGACAATTATATTTATACTGTTTACCACTTACCGTTTAGTGACCTCCAGCAGAAGCAGCCCTGGCCCCAGCCCCTTATATCTTCACCACGTTCCTGGCACTACGTGGGTCCCAGGCTGCTGGTGGGGAGCCACAGGGGCAGGAGATGGCGGACACATCTGAATCACTGGGGGCACTGCCCAGTTGCAGAGTTGAAGCTTCCCCTTGCCCCCCACAGTTCTGGGCTGGGGCTGGAGCTGGGGCTGTGGACCTCTCCTGTGCCCACATCCCGCTGCCATAGGGAGGAGTTGGAGAGGGGTGCTAGGCCCCTCACAGGGGTCAGGCGGGACCTTCCTGCTGCAGCAGTGAAACTCCAGCCCCATGGTGGGTCTGCCCAGCCCCCTTGCAGCAGCAAGGCCCGGGCAGGGCAATGGGTTCCCTGCACCTCCCGCTGTGCTTGTGCCCGGACATGGAAGGCTCCTCTGTACTGCTGGGCTGGGCCCTCCCCAGCTCGCCACGGGGGCAGGGAGGTCCAGGGGAGTGCACTGAGTCCTTCCCCCTCCCACCTGTGGCAATGGGGCCACGCAGGGCCTGGCCCAGACCCAAGGTGGGGCTGATCATGGGATTGGCTCAGCTAGAGGAGGTGCTGTAGCAGCTGAAGCAGGTGGCTGCAAGGCTGAGGGATCACCACTGGCCCCTCAAGTGTTGAGTGCGGTCCCAGGGAGTTCCTGAGTGGTGGCAACAAGCCACGCTGGTGCAGCAGGGGTACTCAGAGGAGCATTGGAGCTATAACAGCGGCCTCCCCGGCTGGGGCTCCTGTGCCACTCCCCCTCA